CTCCTCCTAGAGCACCTTTGAGTTCTTTGTAACCAAATCTCTCTCAGAGGGGCGTGGGGAGGGGCTCCTTATTTTCATCTAAAGTAACAGACAGAGAATCAGCACTTTGGAAACAGGGCTGAAACAGAGGGGATTGTGGGTAATGCTGCAATGATCTGTTTGGTGTTTCAGCCAATCAGAGACAGGCTCTGGATATATCTGAGACCTGTGATATATTGATGAAGAACAGGATGATAGGGGACCTTTAAACATGAGTACAGTGTGTGTGTCGGATGTTTTATTCTGAGCCTCAGAGCTGCATTGTTGACCAGCAGTGATGTAAAGAAACTAAGTAGAGATACTCAAATGCTTTGTACTTCGCCTGAGGGGTGAGGAGCCGCTATCAGACCCGGGGGGGACGGGTGCTCCTTGGTGGAGACCTTCATGTAGCAGCAGGCCACCGAGGTGATGCCGCGCACATGTGGGCAGCTGATGAAGTGCCGGAGGAGGGTGGAGCTGAGGTCTCCGCAGGCGTGGAGCCCCGTGAGGACGAAGTCTGGACGGAGCATTTCCTCAGGAGGTCGAACCCCCTCCTGGACACACGAGCACCTGGAGGCCTCGTCTTCAGAGTCCCTTTCGCTGAGCTGGTGCTGTGACGTTGATGAAGTCTCTTCTTCGGAGCCTCTCGGTCTCTTTTTACAGGGTCCAGATGGAGTTTGGGGTCCAGATGGAGTTTGTGGTCCTTCTGTACCGCTCAGCTGTTCGATGAAGGACTCCCATGATGCCTTGGGGTTTACCCACCCGGCCACATGTCGAGGCTGAGATACTGGGAGCAGAGAGGGGCCGCTCTAAGAAAAGAGACAGATGTGTATTGGTACATTTCGGGGCCGAGGTGTTGATACCTAGCAGGAGATACAGTGGTTTGGAAAAGTATTCAACCGCCTCGTAAATGATCAGATTTCTCTGCATTTCAAATGATGCATTAAGAGTGTGTTCCATTTCATATTTTACTTACAAAGAGTGTCATTAGTTTTATGTGAGAAACATGTTGTAGAAAAAGTATATAATATATTGCACAAGTATTCAACCCCTGTGAGACAAATGAAAATGTTTTACGTTCTTAAGTTGAAGACAAAAGGTGGTTCGATCGAACATCAAAGTGTAGGGGTTTGAATACGAACTTAAATAGCAAATAGAAAAGAATCAAAATCTAATCATGACACCACAAACAAACCACCTCTCAATCGTATCCTTTCCTTATGGACTAAATGTAACACCTACCTCTTTCTGCTTCTCCCTCTCTTTTTCTAAGACCCCCATCAGCTCTCCGTCAAACTTGGTTGCCATGGCGAGCAGCGCGCGATCCGCCTCGATAGCGGTCACAGAGAGTCCGAGCCCGAAGGACAGGAAACGCGTCAGGTGACCCTGAGTGGAGGAAACCTCTCAGTGGTTAAAGTGGGAGCATCACAACAGACAAAGCAACGATATAAACACGAGTACAGTGTGTGTGTCGCATGTTTTATTCTCTGCCTCAGAGCTGCATTGTTGACCAGCAGTGATGTAAAGAAACTAAGTAGATATACTCAAATACTTTCTACTTCTACTCCACTACAGTTCAGAGGTACATGGTGTACTTCTACTCCACTACATGTATGTAATACCTTTAGTTACTTCTCAGATGTGGATGAATGATGTGAAATATAATCAAGTGTTAAATCAGACTTTAGTTCCACCTGGAGTAAATCCACAAGCTACCCTGCAGTATACAAAGTCATTCAAACTAGCTGCACCTTTACCAGCTTTGAGAACACTTTCATGATCAATCATTATAAAACATATCATATATATTATTCTGAAATGGACCAATCTGCACAATGACTACTTTCACTTGAGGAACATTTTGAATGCTCAAGTATTGCTGAATAAACAAACCAGAAGCAGGGTGATATTGATCAAATCAGATGTTACCTGTCCTGAGCCCACATCCACCACCCTGCTGCAGTCAGTCTGGTCACACAGCTCTTTCACCAGCTGGAATACACAAAAAGCAACAGATTAAAAAACACCGTTCACAGAGACCAATACTGGAGCGATAGCAGCATTAGCCCCTCGTACCGCGCCCAGCTTGCGGATCTCGTGCTGTTTCTTGGGTTTGACGTGTTTCCTGAAGATGTGTCGCAGCAGAGAGCTCTGACTCTCGTTGTTCTGAAACTCCTCGGCCCCCCCGCCGCCCTCCCTGCTCTCTCTGGGAAACGCCAGAGCCTGAGCAGTGGCTCGAAACGCCAACAGAGACAGAGGCCACACCGAGGGATATCTGCAACCACAAACACTGCAGGGTTATTATTTAAATCACAACTCTGGCAGTGTTATATATATATATATATATGTGTGTCTTACTGTCAACAAGTACAACTGCATGCACTTGCATAAAGACATGTATTTGCATTTTATTTGATTATAGGGGAAATATTCTGCTCATGTTCAGGTTCATATGGTTCTCTACTGGGACATGTCTCCATTCTTTTATGTTCAAAAAGCTCTTTATTGTTCTCATACTGCCTGTGCTGCAGCACCTCTTTTCAGCCTCTGTCTGAAAC